AGGTTATACTTCATTCAGAAAGATCACCCACAGAAAATAAAACATGCCCATTGATTATTTGACTCCCAGATGGTTTAAATAACTTGTTTCTAAGAACCCTGTGTTTTTAATGCCAGTTCCTCTCTGATCAAACAAAATATGGTCAGTGCTTAATCTCTATGGAGAAAAAAATCGACATAGTTTAGTATTAGGCAATCAGAAGTTTTCTTTGGAAAGCTAGTATAAACTGGTTTAAAAGCTCTCAATTGTTCTGATCAATTTAATAGATTAAAAAAAGGAAAACAGTGTAGAAATAGTCTGTATATAAAGACTGTTTGCTGGCTTCAGAAGTTTGGAAATGAGCCAAAAAAGAAGTCTCTCTGGGCACAGGAAAAAAGCCAGATGGAGCAGAAGGTTCTTCATGTGGAAAAAAGGAGATTAGAGAGAAAACACACAGCTGAGAAGGCGAATTCATATTGTCATAAAGAGCTTTAATAAGGTGGAAATAAATACATTTCTGACTTGCCTGAAGCTAGCACTATAGTGCCTCAAACAAGTACTATGTGTATGCTTGGAAGACTTTCTGTCTAAGGATGAGGCTCAGGATAAAGCATTTACTGATTAACCCACTAAACCCACATGTAATAGGTGAATACTTGTGAACACTGGTAAATATGCAGGCAACAGTTTTGATCACGTCAGGTAGGTTCTAAGAAAACTCAAGTAAGATGTAGGATCACAGAGCCTCTTGGTACAGTGCCGCTGGCTTCAGCAGAGGAGTCCTTTGTGCTTATGAGGTAGTAACCATTACCCACCAGTTTCCTGGTGCCACTATCCGAATTCTAGGAAGAGCCTTAGGAGGAAGGGAACCTCCTCCAAAGGACTAACTTTGCAAATTTATTTTTCCCCTCAGTTTTATTTGCAAATTTTAACCTATGAAACGATAAGGAATGCTCCACCTTTGTTAAATGTTGAGCTTGATAGAAGCTGAGGCCCGCAGTGAACTAATTGTTTTAATAAGTCCTTGATAACATCACAAGTGCTAGCCCTTGGTTTTCTCTCTGGCTTTTCTAACCCTCTTGCCATCAACTTTCTTTTGGCCCTCCTGTATCTTAGCTACCTAGCACTCTTTTGGTTTTGAAAGACCTTGCCCTCAGTTACTAACTAATCCCTGCCAAGGTATTCTCATAAAAGCTCATGGGTGTGTGTTTGAGGATTTGATGTTGGTGTTGTGAATACTTAAAAGCCTTTAAGTGCTAGGTGATGGAATTAGGCATAAAGACAGATCCTTGGTATAGGAGTTGTTTTGGGTTGCGGGGTCGGTTTATACAGCGCTGTTCACATGCCTCCATGCAGGCACCTCCCCCTTGAAGTCCGCCCCTGAATGTTTCCCTTATGAATGGAGTGCATTACTTCCAGAGAGGCATCTGGTAGTTGGATACTAATGGCTTTTACCTGGCAGTGATAGCTACTGGGGGTTTGCTTTGATGGCCAGGGTTCATGGAGGAAATGTGCTTCACGGGCACAGGCTTCAGAACCTTGCCCACCTCCAGTCAATGTCCATAATGTTGCATCAGCTGTTAGCCTCCCTCCTCAGAGACAATAGAAAGAAGTGCTTTCAAAGTAGAGGACTGTTTCCTCATTATAATTTTGTTCCAGGGGAAATCTATATTTTGCACTTCTTTCTGCTTTGCACCATTGCCAGAATTTTTGCAAGCCACGCTATTCTCATATATAGTAAAAGGACCTTTTTGAACTGTATTTTTAGACACTGATCTTAATCAGAGTTGAACAAAGAGTACCATGGAAGTTGTCTTTCCCATAAAACTCAAAAGCTTTATTATTATTAATCAGTAATATTTTTCAAATGCAGTAGCTACTATGTATCAGACACTTTATTAGATGCTGTGCATGTATTAGAGAAACAATATAGCAGAATGTTTAAGAGCAGTTCTCTGGATTGATAAATTCAAATCCTGGCTCCATATCCTATTAGCAAAATGAAACCTTATATAATTACCTAGTCTCTCTTTGCCTCACTAATAAACACTGTCTGAAGTATTAAATGAATTTATCCAGTCCTTAGAGAAGTTTCTGATACCTGTTAATAGCTCAATAAATGTTCTAATTCTTCCAATAATGTACAAAGTAGGTATTTTTGTCCCCCATTTTTTTAAATCCTTACCTGGGGATATGTTTTTTTATTGATTTTAGAGAGAGGGTGAAGGAGCGAGAGAGAGAGAGAGAGAGAGAGAGAAACATCAATGTGAGAGAGAAACATTGATTGGTCGCCTCCCATACGCACCCTGACCTGGGATAGAGCCCGAAACCTAGATCTGTGCCCTGACCGGGATTTGAACCCACAACCTTTTGGTGTACAGGATGATGCTCCAGCCAACTGAGCCCCCTGGCTAGGGCACTCCTTATTTTATGATGAGGAAACTAAGACTCTGAAGTTAAAGAATGTATCAAAGTCACAGACAGTGACTGGGTGGCACTGGTTTTAAACTCGCCTTTTGTACCTCAAGACCCCTCAAGACTTCTCAGCCCAGAGGCTTAGATTATTTTTCTGTTTTCTCACTCTGTTTATTGGGACTCTAAAAGAGGGCCTGGTTTATGACATACTGCTGAGCACATCATTTTATACTCACATTTATCATGTAAACATCTTCTGAAAACGAAGGAGCAGAACTCTGCCAAGGATCGGGGTTATGGAAATTTAGTCCGTGGAGATAGGGAATTTCATGATTGTGATTTAAGGGAAAGATCTGAAATAACAGACTTTTACCACAAATATGTGTGACTCCAATCTCCTGGGGAGGGAAATGCCAAGCTGGGTGGAGGCCAAAACAGCCTAATATTTGTCCTGGCTGCGGTCCAGCCTCTCCCCGGGAGGGCTTCTTTCCCCCTGCGGCCCAAGAGGAGAGGGAGCACACTTGTTTTAGGGCTCGGAAGGCACTCAGGAAGGTATTCACAGCCGCTGCCCGCCGAGGTGTGTGGTCCACCCAACTTTTCGAGTTTACAGTCAGAGTGGACAGGTGGTAGGTGTTAAAGCATTACCAGTAGAGCTCCAAGGTGATTGTTGGCATCGTCAGGTAGAGACTCCCGTGGAAGCCTGCGACCCTCAAACAGTGATGCTCCCTCTCTTTACTGCTGCCGGCACATCCCACCTCGGGACTTCGAGGTTCCTCTTTGGCCTGTACCTTCAGTGTTTAGTATCCTTGGAGTTCTTTCTGAGTCTGTTTCTCACCGAAGTCTTCGTGTCCCCGTTCCTCCGCCCAACCCCAGACAACCCTTTCGCGTCCATAACTCAACAACAAGTTCTATGCTAAATCCTCAGTTCAGATCTCTCTCTCAGTCTCCAGGTCTTGCTCTCACTCACCACTGGACATCTCCACTTAGACATCCCACGGACACTTCAACATCAGTTAGTTTAAAACTGAGCGCTCTCTCTTCCTCCAGCACCATCTCCCTCCCTTCCCACCCGGATGTGCTTCCCCCAGAGTCTGTAATCTATTCTTCACATCACCAGAGGGGTCTCTCTAAAGTGCCAATCTGATGTCATTCTATTTAAAATCCTAAAGTCTAGGCTGGGCCTGAAGATAAAGCCCAAGTTCTTCAACATGAGTTATAAGGCCTGTTGTGATAGACACCCCACTTCCCCTAACTTCTGCAGCCTTCTCACTGTTTACCTCCCGCATTCTTCCCCCCTCACCTTCACCACACACGCTTTATGTTCTGACACTTATTCCTGGCACATGTTCCGTTTTCTTGGTCTCCAGGCCTTTGCTCAGGCTGCTCCTTGTGAGCCCCCACATCCACCTACGTAGCCCCTTTCCCTTGGCTAATGTCTACGTATACTTAGAGGTTTCAATTTAGACACCCTTTCTTCTGGAAGACCCCTCTACCTGATTCCCCATGTTTATGCTAAATGCCGCTCCCAGGTGTTCCCATTTCACCCTTTACTTGCGCATGTATTTGCAAGTTTAATTGTTGGTCTTTTCCATTAGACTGACAATAATAAGTTCTCCAAGGGCAGGACCCATGTTTTGTTTGTTCAATATTGTATCTCGAGTGCCTCACCCATGAATGAATGGAGCCTGCATAGCAGTATCTCACAAAAGTTGGAGACTCTTCATAAGGTAAAAACATATGTATGTGTGTGTACATATATTATAGATCAAGTTTTCCTACTTGATGTTTTTGGATACTACTTGCTGCTATTATGGGTGACACCAATAGTAGCAGATGTTTGGTAAGTTTCTATAGGAGAGGGGAGAGCTGTTGGTGTCCAGGGCACTCTGTGGATGCAATTTCTTTGATGGCCTTGGACCTTATTGCTGTCCTGGCTATCGGGTGGTGAGTACATCCACTTCCCAGTGGGCCTGAAAAGGCAGTTACCTGTGTAGTATAAGGTGATGGATTTCTTCATTGGGGAAGCAAAAATACTTTGAACATTATAATTTAGTAATGTGATTTTTTTCCCAAAAGCAGGTTTTGGTAAGAGGAAAGAAATGGCAGGAAATGCTGGGAGGTGGCAGGACCTGCTTAGATGGTGTTTGTGCCTAAAGTGAGGACTTATAAAATATCTGACATATTTTAACATTTGCCTTGAGTCTACAGGATGGATCTGGGTTACAGATTCTGTGATGCTAAAGCATCCTCCTATATTTGTGGAGAGAGGTCTGGTATTGCTCAAGAGATTAAGTTTTGTTGTTTGGTGTAGAATAAAGTGCCATGTATATTGAGTCTGTGTAGATTGCTCTTTTCTATTTATAGGTAAATAAAAATATAAAAAAGCATGCACGTAAAAAGATTCCTTAATTCGTTATTAATAAATTAATAAAAACCTCATAAAGATTATTTGCTTTATTGGATTTTTTTATACATTCATCTCCTTAAAAAGGTGGTAATAAATACAGAGACAGAGGAAGCATAAACATCTCAGAGGTACTTTCTTCTTTTCAGCTTTTACCAACAAACCACTCCATTGGCTGGTGAAAAATGAAGACTGGAAAGTTCTATACTTCCTGGAGTTCCACTATCTTACGTTGTAATTTCTTTAGGTCCTTTTGTACTTTATGTATCTCTAAATCCACCTTTGTTTTCTGTATTTGTTGGAGGGAGCTGAGAGAGTCATGAATTGATTTAAATCCTGGAAGAGGACATGAGTATACTTAATGCATTGGAATTTTTGGTTTTTACAGAAGTTGTTAATCAGCAGTCCTGCCACAATTGACCATCTTTTTATTCACAGCACATTACATTTCACTAAGATCAGTCTAAAAATGTGTAACCATTTCTTGTATGTCATGAAGCTGCGTTAGCAATAGTGTTTCAACTTATATCTGCCTCTTTGTGAAAATTTAATTCAATTCCTTTCTTTTCTTTCCCCCCAAATACACTGCATAATGAAATGCTGCTATATTTCAGGAGAGAAATTTAAAGTAATAGTTTCTTCTTTCTGTACACTTTGACAAGAGATTTGGATGATCTTTTTTTATTCTCGTTACCAAATTGAAGGTAAAGACCTTTGAAATCTCAGATGAGATTTTAAACTTTCTCTGACATCAACTTGTTTGAGGGACCTGAAGAGGGGCCACTGACTTCCTCTCCCCACTCCCCCAGCACTTTGTATTTCTTATTCAAGTCTAATTACTAGTGACTACAACCTACCAGATCTCAAGCTTCTTAGTGTTCAGCCCATTTCTTGTTTACTAGAGCCTTTTACATACTCATTTCTCAACACATTTTTATTAAAGGCCTAAAGGAGCAAACCATTAATCCGGAGTCCCTGTTTGCTGAACTCCTACTTAATAAAACATAGAGACATGTAGATTGCAAATCCCTCTTCAGCTCATGCTGTGTTTGTACTACTGGAATGAATAAAATTAAATCTCTGGTAGTTAAGTAGAAAGCCTGGCCCTAAAAGAAGGGTCAGTTAGGTTTGGGACACGACTCCTGGTCAGATAATTCATTATTTTGATTTGGCAGTGGGAGTTGGGGAGGAGAGGTGGTGAGGGTCAGATTTCTAGGTAGAGGAGTTTACTTATATGCCAGCAGCATCTGGCAGAATGAGACCATGATGATTTTCCAATACGCCTTCAAGGTATCTCTATACTGGATCAAAATGAGGTAGAACTGACTTGCATTCTTCTGAGATCTAGAGGACAGAAAATGAGTTGGGGCTTTCTCTAATAAAGGAAACGTTTGGATCCTGGTAATTCCCTCAGAATTGTGACTGGAGGCAGATGGCTGCTCCACAGCACCTATCCCATGTCCTTCTCTTTGACAAATTAGATGAGCCTTTCAAATTAATCCTCTTTGATGTTAGCTCAGCTTGACACTGCTGCCATTAGCCTCTTTAAGAAGAAAGACAGTCATTATACCGGACTCTATTAATTCATATTAATTCATCTCTCTTTCTTACGTCTAAAGGTCAGGTCTCCAGTCTCACATCTGCCCGGGCTCATTACATGCAAGTTCAACGAGGGACATTTGATTTAGGCTCCTAGTTTTATGATATACCCACAAGCCATGTCTTGATGATCTCCAAGGACTTTCCAGGTCTCTGATCTTAGAAAATAATAATTTTTTAAAATCTCACATAGTGGCAGGCTTGTGGCGCTGCCAAGTGTGAATGAAGAAAGTAAACTTACTTACCTACCTTGCCGGGGTATGCTCACATTCTAAGGGATATTTAGGAAAGTCAGGTCAAATACAAAAGGATGTCACTAATGACAAGATTGGTTGCCTGACATTAGCTCAAAGTAGAAAGCTGAGAGATTGGATAGGAAAGGACTGATGTTCTTTACTTAATCAAAGGCACCTGCTCACCTGATTGATATTCATTCTGCATTTTCTCTAATTCAGCCCAGAAGTGCTTTTCCAGTTGATTCATCTTTTTCCACAGTTTATTTTCTATATGCTTTACTTTGCTTAGTTCTGTATCCTGTTTGTGTGTGTTAATGAAATTCTCTAATTTGCTTGAAAGCTGCCGTATTTTCTCTTCCATTTTATTTTCAGACTTTTCCTATAAAAGATATCACATGGTAAAACTCTGCAGACAAGAAACTCTATGTGGATTTGTATTCCAGCTTAGAGAATGTTTTTAACAAATTCACTTTTCCATGTTAAAGATGAAAATTCAAACCAAGTTCCCTATATCTAAAACTATGTTCACGAGCGTAAGAGTTCACCCCTTTGTGTGGCCTGGCTCATTTGTAGCCCCTGGAATTCTGTATGATACAGAAGAAAATGAAATACAGGGCATGGTCTTGCTGAAACAAACTCCTTGAGGATTTGGATTTCAGCCTCATGTTTAGAGAAGGGTAACCAAGGACAGCATTTTAGATTCTGCTCCTTGAACATGCTCCAAGTGCTAGATGTCCTTATTCCCCCAGCTTCATGTCCCCATGTGGACAGACGACGGCTGGAAGAGTGACCCTCCGCCCGCCTGTCAGTTAGGATCCCCTCTGCCCTGCAGGGAATGAGGGAGCAAGAGGGCTGGAGGGCCTTGGCCCTTTCGGTTCTCCTGCCTCGAAGGTGGATTCCAGTCTCCCTCTTCCTATGGTGGGAGCTTCTGCCTGCAGGTGGCCCTGTGGTCATGTAGAGCTGCCTGCCACTGGTGGAGGCGTCTGCCTAAATCAGCTGCGACAAGTACGGGCCTGCTGCGCTGCAGACCCGAGCACACACAGCTCAACAGCCCGGTCAGTGGTAGAGCTGTAATGTTTCTCCCATCTCCATCGCGTCTCTATCAGGTGTTTCCAGATCCAGGTGGAGGGCCAGGAGCATTATTTACCCGACTGCCTAAAGCCCCTCTACTGAAGTCCCAGAAACATATTTGAATCCACTGAGGACCCTGCCGGCCTGTGCTGCTCCTGCTGTGCTGGCAAGAGTGGGAGAAGGGAGCCCCAGATGGATGTCCCCCAGACTGCAGCCTTCTCACCCCAAAGCTGGGGGTTTCTCCACAAGGTCTGAGCTGGAAAAGGAGTTTTGAAAACTTTTGATCTGCTGACGGATCTCCGGAGAGGTAACAGGGCTAATCTAAGGCAGGAGTTTTCAGGCCTTGTAGTGTCTAAGCACCACCCGGGGAGCTGGCCTAGAAGCACCCAGGGGGTGCCTTGGGAGGTCTGTCTGATGCCTCCATGTTGGCTTGGGAAAAGGAATCTGAATTTTTAAAGTTTCTTTTGGTTACTCTAGAGGTAGAACACACATCCTGAGCAGTGTGGGTTCAGAGTTGGGGAGTAGCAAACAGGAACAGAAGGCTGGCCTCTGGATTCCTAGCCTGGCGCCCCCACAAAGTAGGTTACTGACACTCAAGGTTGCTGTGAGTGTTGAAGGCCGACTTTGGAGGCCTTTACTCACGGGCAGGCTGCAGACGTGCAGACGTCGGCGGCGGGAACCAGGGGTCCTTACCAGTTTCTCCTGCAGGAGCTTCAGATAGGAGTTTATTTGGCCCAGCTGCTCTTTTTCGTATTTGGCGAACAGGCTTTCTGTCCTTTTTTGATTTTTCTCAACTTCCTCATACAGATTATTTGCTAGTGAATTAAATCTAAGGGAAAAAATTGTTCTATTTTAATAAGTAGATTTAAACATAGAATCAAAATTTAGTATTTAAAAACATCTGCAGTTTTTCCAGATGATGAAGCTCAGTGTGTGTAGCAAGTACTTATGGGGTGATGCGGGGCTGAGGAAGCACACTCTGGGTCCTGTCCTGAGCTTGTGTTCAGCCGAGCTGCTGCCAACAACCCTCCGCATGCCCTAAATTACACGCACACACAGAAACCTGTGTTACCCACGCAGATTCCTCCCAGGCCCCTGGAAGCAGGGCTGTGTCTGGAAGTGACACTTTGCTAAGTCACCTGGGCTGAGAAGTATTACTTTATGTAAGGTTGGCAAACTTCTGTAAAGGGTCACAGTGAATGTCTCAGGCTTTGTAGGTTGGACTCTTTTCGAACCACTTGGTGCTGCCATTGAAAGCTGGAAAGCAGCCAGGGCAGACACAAACCAGCACGGCTTATTTATAAACATAGTAAGAAACAGAAGCGCGTGGTTGTAGTCTAATGGTTAACTTCGTATACGCTGAAATCCAAATGCCATAGTCTATTCACATGTCATTACATATAATTTATTATTTAAAGTTTATGAGAAAGTATGAGAAAGTCTTAGCTGTGGGCAGACTGGCTAAGGGAACCCTGATCGACAAGGGCCACATGAGGCTGTGAGAGGAGCTGGGCCAGGCAGGACCTGCTTTGTTTAGTTGCGCAGAGAAAACCCAGGGGTAGGAAAGGGGAAGGGGGAAGGAAGAGAACCCCAAAAGGACTTTGGGGAAGCAGAATGTTCCTTGGTTGTCTTTTCTGTCTCAGGTGAAATCTTCAGTGAAGTCCTCATTGCTACCAATGGGTCTCTGTGAGTGGGTTCTTTGGGGATTGGGGGGGGGGCTTGAAGTGGTGCTGAGTTACTCATGGAGGCAAAACCAGAAAAAATAGGCAGAGGTGGGGGGAGGGACTGCTGCCATCAAGATGATGCACCATAGGAGTGTTAATGGAGAATGAAGGGTTTTTAAAAATGGAAGTGGATGTTATTAAAAAGGTTGGAGTCATATAGCATCAATTTGAAAAGTCACTGTAGAGTGGCTGAGGGTTTAATCAGAAAGGGGATCCACATCTGGAATGACTAAGAAATATGGGACTGAGAAAAGATAGAACAAGGGGTGGGACTGGCGAGTGGGTTCTGTGTTTTCTGCATGTGACTTGCTCGTGCAGAGATGTCCATTTCACATTCCCTTTTAGACTAGGCAAAATATTAGATTGGCAGGAACAGTGCATGTTGATATTGGAAATATTCAGGCTACCTGTGGCTTGAAATAATAGTTGCTTTAATGTTCTTAGGAAAAAATTTATGCAGATAATTTAGTTTGTGATAATGTAGCATTGGAAATGGCTTAAAACATGCTGGACATAAAATGCATGTATATGCATCTCCAGCTCTCCTGATAAAGTCTCTGGACTAGTAATCAGAAAAGACACCTAACTAAGAACCTAACTAAGTTCTCTGAGGGTAAGAATTTTGCTTTGTTCATGACTGTGAACAATGCCTAGAGTTTCGAAAGTGTTCAGTAAGGAGTTGCTAAATAAATGAATAAGTGAACCATTTTTCTCATACAATACCCTTTATTAGGGCTGTTCACAAATAAATCGTAGACTTGCCAAGCTATTTAGAGACCTAATCTTTGATTTTCATCATCCTTTCCCTATTTCTGGTGGAAATATTAATTAAAAGTGATGGTTGAGGGGGGCAGTGAATCCCCAGATAACCAAGAGGTAGCTTTACAATTGAGAATCCAGCCTTCACTGCTCACCTTCACTGTGTAGATAAATGGGAGCATTTACCCTCATCACTGATACAATATTAAAATCCCTCTGAAAACCAATGTACCCAAGTAATATCTCTGGAAGGGCATGTTGGCAATTGAAATTCTGAAATTAAAATAAAGTCATAAAGAATGAATTACTACCTATGATCCTTTCATTACAAGGTTTTGCCCGCAATTGGAGACTCATTTCCCTGGTAACAATCAGAAGTCAGACTCTGTCTGTTGGTAGTTTATTAAAACATGAAGTATTATTTAAATAGCATTCTCCTTGAAAGCTTTAAAGGATAAAGTAAAAGTTTATGTAAATCTTTTTTCTCTCTCCTTGGACTTTTTCCTAACATAATGGACATAATTTACCATATAAAAATTACTATTCTGATCATTGTAGAACTTACAGCTAAAATCCCAACATGATGAATTATCTTGAATGATATTCATATTTTAGTTCCCAAATCCTCTATTCTAATGATTATGGAGATATTTCTATCAGATGTAGACATATGTAGATAGGTAGGTAGATAGATGTAGATAGAGAGAGAGAGAGACAAACAGATACCTTTTTTTTCTTTTTTCTCAAAACACAAAATTCAGACTTTTAAATTATGGCCAGAAACCTCACTAGGATAATGTTGGCTGGGTTTTTTTTTCCTTTTCTTAATTTTTATACTGGTTGAGTCAGGTTAGAATACACCCCAAGGGAAATTTTAAGGGGGGAAGTTACAAAAGTGTAGAAGAAAATGTAGCAGGATCTGCAGACAGGGCAGAGCCCGGGCAGAGAGCTGTGTTGGGTGAGGGGAGCGGCGAGCGCGAGGCTGCGGACGGCCCAGCGGGTGGCCGGGCGGGCCAGCGCCGAGGCGCGCAGGTGAGGGCGCGGCTCCACGGGGGCCCGTTACAGCAACCACTTCTGTTTTAAATCCACTGTCTTGCATTCAACAGTCTGTTCAATTGACTTTTCAAGAAGACATGGAAATTTGGAAATTTTAGAAACTATAACTATTAACAGGCTTTCAAGAATTTAGATAGTGGCTTTAACTAGATGTGAAAATAAAAAGATTTAATGCCCTTTGATGAGCTGATAAACACAGAAGCTATTTTCATTTTTTGAAATAATTAAATAAGTGGAGATTAAATCTATAATTTTGTTTCATGTCAGAAGCAAGGAATTAATTTCCAGAAACATTGTTTCTGCTAAGTTTACACCTATATATTTTAAAATAATTTCTTACTAATGCTGTGATTTCTGATTAGTGACACTAATTAAAAAGTAATTCCAACTCCACTCTGATAGCCAGACTTGTTTCTCAGTCATTTCAAATTTGTACTTTAGCTTAAATCCAAATATCTTCACAGCCTCATACCTTTCTGGTTTCAAGAAGATGTGATCGTTCATTTCTCTGAATTTTCATACACAATTAGTTTACTAATAAGGGGAATCATGAGATGGAAGCATCATAGATTAACAAAAATAACTTGAGATTTGGAATCAGACACTTTTCTAGCTGTGTGACTTGGAAAATTACTTAATCTCCATAATCATAAATTTCCTCATCTTTAAAATGGGGTAAGACCCACTCTACAGAGTTGGGTACACTTGACTATCTGGAGCACTTAGTGATTGGTAGGCACTGATAAATTACAATAACTATATTTATTATTTCTGCCCACTGATACGTCTCATTTAACATTGTCTTAACTTTTACTTTACCTGTATTTAGCTTGTCACTATGCATTTCCCCCCCAACCGTATGTGGCTATGATTATGTCTGGATATTCCAAAACACAGCTTACATATTACAGGTGCTCAAAACCATTCATTCATTCATTCATTCACTCACTGGCTTCTATTTGTGTCTAAATAAAAGGTGCTGAGGATGTAAAGATGAATGAGATGTGTCCTTGCCTTGGATAGTTTGTAACTTTCCACTTGGTTAGCATTTTCAAAGTTGTACAGTAAAATTCTAGTCTATGCCTTTGCTTTACTGACCAAATGCTGTTTCTTTTCGTATAAATCACTATCAGTTAGATAGCATCAGCAGTAAGAGCCGTCGAGGGGAGCGACTGGTAGGTGCTGCCTCTGCCAAACCCGTACTAAGAGACAGCTATGTTTCATAATGCCCAAAACTTGCTCTCTGAGCACTAATTTGTTGGCTTAGATCATTACTTAGCTGAACATCTAAGACCCTTCTGGAAAAAGGAGGCTCAATGCAGGGGTTCAAAAGACAAGAGCCTGGCCCGGCCAGGAGGGCTCAGTGGTGGAGCATGACCTAGGATCCAGGAGATCGCGGTTTGATTCCCGGTCAGGGCACATGCCCGGGTTGCGGGCCAGATCCCCAGTCGGGGGCGTGCAGGAGGCAGCCGGTCAGTGACTCTCTCATCATTGATGTTTCTATCTCTCTCTCTCCCTCTCCCTTCCTCTCTCTGAAATCAATAAAGATATATTAAAAAAAAAAAAAAAGACAAGAGCCTGTGCGTCACCATTGTTAGGTCAAGTGATCAGTGCCAAAGTCCCAGAAATTCACTAGAAAACCCTCAACGATACTGTGACTTTCAAGTTCAATGTATAATATATTTAGTTGACCATTAAACTTGAATTTCTTATTAAAGTTTCTAAGTGGAAAAATTGCTCAATTAAACTTACCTTAATGTTATTAAAATGTTTTTAATCCCTTTGATCAGAGACACTTGTCTTATGAATTAAAAGAAAGGAAGGAAGGAAGGAAGGAAGGAAGGAAGGAAGGAAGGAAGGAAGGAAGGAAGGAAGGAAGAAAGAAAAAACAAATTCAAAATACCATCTCCTCTGATTTGACAAGTGCTCTGAGTGGAGGGGAAAAGCCCTACATCCTGCCTTACATTCCCTTTGAGGGAAATACATTTGCAATACATATCTCAGTTAAAGGTTAATATCCCTGATGTAAAGAAATCCTGTAAATCAATTTAAAAATGATGCAAATCACAATACAAAATTTTACAAATGATAAGAATGGGCTGGTCACAGAAAAGAAAATTCAGATGGTGAAGGTAATGCACATGAAAACAGGAGATGCTGCTTTCCAGTTTTTAATTGGCAAATATTAAAAAGAGAAATTCTAGTGTTGGTAAGAATGTTGAGAAAGATCTAATCACACACTGCTGGTGGGAATATAAATTGCTACATTTTTAGAAATAAATTTATAAAAATTAATAAATACATAAACTCTTTGACCTAGGAATCTTGCCTATAGGAATAGAGGCACCTAAATCCAAGGTTCTCTAAGGATATACACATGAGAGTTTTCTCTTTGTTTATGGTAGCCATGAACTGAAAAGAATCTATTAATAAAATAAGTGATTGAATTAAGTATGGCATGCCTGTAAGTTAAAATATTATGCAGCTTTGAAAAATAATGTTAATTGATCTAGAGAAATATCCAAGATGTACTGGAAAAAACCAAATTATTGAGTAATGTACATAGAATTTATTTTTTTTTAAACCCCATGCTTTCTCTATACATATGAGTAATATATATATATATCCATGCACACAAAACATCCTCTTTCTATTATATATTTATATTAACAAAGAGGAAGGCATGGAAGGAGACATGCCCAGTATTAGCATTGGTTACATTAAGAAGCTGAGACAGTGAACTCCTTTTTTCATCTTTGTTTTATTTTGTTTGTTACAATGAATGTATATTACTTTTTAATTTAAAAATGATGGAGAAAGTTTAAATTTAAAAAAGCCAGTTTTGTAATTCAATGACTCATAAATATTTGCCTGGGGAAAAATCTGATTTATAAGCTCACTGTAGCCTACAGTAACACTAATGAAATTTTAAAACTTCATTATTTCAAGTGAGAAAATGATTCAAATTTATACTATTACAAAAGTGTCAGCATTCAGATTTAACTACTTAGATTATTTGTCTATAAGCCAATTTCCCAAAGGTCTAAAGACAGAAAAAGTACACAGCAGCATCATAAAGCAGTTAGGCCCTAGATCTTAAACATCTCCTTTCCCCCTCTTTCCTATTTGTTAATACGCTTCACGCTTCATCTCTATCAGCCAGTCTTCCATTTCAGATTGTAAGTCCCATTATCCCCCAATAAAATCATCTCTTAAACTGTACTTCTAGAAACAGTTTACTTTTCTAGTTCTCCTTTGGACTTTTTAAAAAAATCTTAATTCAAAGTTAAAGGGATTAGATGAAGGGCCGCTCAGATATTTATTAATCATTTTCATTATGGTAGATTTTAAGAAAATAATATGTTTTTTTAGAGTATGAGTAAAGTGGGTATTTTCTCTTTACTCAAGATACCTTCTTCTCTGGGCTTTAGTTATGAGTCTTGTTTTTCATCAATTCCTAAAACACATTTTCCAATTTGGCATCTCTAAAATTGGGAGGAGTTTAAATAAGGGTGTGCTATGATTTACTTGTTAGCTTCGTATCATAGGGGTACAAAAACATATGGTGCATCTTATAGTCAGTGCCCTTAGATTTCTTGAAATAAAGTCGAGATGGGGGAAATGGAGCCAGCTGAGTATTATTGGAATACTAGATTTGATCAAGGCATTAAATCCAAGTGATGTGGAACAGAGGGGAAAAGACAAGGGTAGAAGAGGCTGTAAGGTAGCATCAGTCAAGTGACTAGAATATTCCTTTGCCTGCACCAGGCCCTTTGNCCAAGTGACTAGAATATTCCTTTGCCCACACCAGGCCCTTTGAAATGGGGATCATTTAAACAAACAAGGAGGGTTAGAAAGTAAGGAGGCCAAGAGTTTGAATATTTGTGGATTCGCGTCTCCTTGACTGCTCTCATTACATAGGGAAAGCTCAAGTTAAGATGGGGTAGAGGCCTGTCTTCAGCAGGCAGAATGCTAAAGAACAAGTAGAGGATCTTAGAAAAAAAGCATAGAAAAGCCCTTAAAAAAGCCTTGGTACTCAAAATTGTTTTAAAAATTGCTTGATAATCTTGTGCAATCAATGTCTATTCAATAGTGCTTTACATTGAGGCATTTTAATACATGACTGATGGTAAGTTAAAATTCCTACATAGGAAAGGTCTGGGTGAGTATATCAATTCAGTTGAGATATAGTGCAAAAACAAAGAGCATGACAAAATTAATATTCATATTTTTTCTTTTATTATGAATATTGCATAAGCTACTTTAGTGTAGAATATTCTCTACATCAGTTTTGTTGCTTTATTTCTTGACCAAGTTTTTATTCCCAGGATAGGTTTTTTACTTAATGCCAGTGCTTTCATTAGGTAGAACCCTTTGGAATGCATTTAACAGAATTAAAAATCTTCCATTCACTTACTTGAACTCCAAAAGGTTCATTTCAAGGCGATAATCCCCCTGGACCATCTTTAAATTTGAGGTTTGTTCAGAACTGGAAGCCTCTATCTTTCCTAAGAGCTGTGTTACCTGATGAAAGTACAAAAAGGAACCTTTGTGTGCGTGTGAACAAAACCACTAGCACTTACATTAATTATACTTTATTCCTAAAGGAGCCAGGAAGCAGACTTGAGTCCAAAACATGTTTTCATTTGAAAATGATTTTTGCAAAGGAATGATTAAATAGTTATAGAACTATCTTCAGGGAAAGAATAATAGGGGAGTATTCATTCTGCTGTCTGTAATGTTCTTTTGATAAGAGGCTACCTAATGATACAACAAAAACATACTATTGACATTAGTTTGTTTATTTGTTAATTTGATTATTTCTTTACTTTGTCTTCCTAGTTACAATGTAAACCACTATATCTTCTATCGCCACTATATCCTCAGTGCACATTAGATGGCCAACAGTAAATATTCACCAAATACTTATTGAATAAGTGTTTAAATGTGCAATTAGGGTCCGAGAAAAACACACATGAGTGGCCTAAGATGAAGCCTCAGGAATTTCCTGGTAGGATTCTGATATGAGCACAAGTGAATCCCAAGTGAAATGACTTAGGGCATAGAAACTTAGGAAAAACCAAGTTCCAGTCCTGGAAGGTAGGATGAGAGTGTCTTCTACAAAGCCAGAAACATTGAGGATATTCCTTTAGGTAAAGGCACTGGGTTGGAAAAATCTAGGTAGAGCTGCAGCACATAATTATGCTTAAACTAATCACTGCCAGGGGAGTGAAAACTCCATGGTTGGCTTTGGCAAAACAAACTCCGGCTCCTACAAAAAAGGGTCACAGGGAGGAGAGTAGGCGGTAACATCAGAGTTCTCTTAGAAAAAAGGGGAGCAGTGGAAGGGTTGAAATGATAAATGCTGGGTGGGCAATGGATAGCTCATGAATGGCTGTTTATAGGAGATACATTTAAAACAGTCTATTGATGGGAGGCACACTTAGCAGGATTGTTTTGACAGTGAAATAATACGCAAATACATGCCTGGCAAAAGCAAAGGAAAAGAAAGCAGGCCAAGCAATACTGTTAGATAAAATATTATTCAAGGCAAAATATGTTAAACCGACACAGATGGCCATTTTTATAGATTAAAAGTAGAATCCACAGCAAAAAATTAGAGTTTTGAACCTATATTTACCTTATATATTGAACTAAAAAGAAACAGCTGAAGAATTACAAGGATATATAGGGTGTCCCAAAAACATGTATACCCACTTTAACAGCTGATAGCTGTTAAATGGAAATGAAATGTATTTTAATATACACTGCCTTTATAATTACTCAAAGTGTGGGTATACATTTTTTTTTTTTTGGTATACTCTGTAGATTGAACTAAAAAGAAATAGCTTAAAAATTACCAGGATAAACTAACAGAAATGACATATTAGTGATTTTAAATGACTTTTCTTGACTCTTTACTGGTCAAATAAGNTTTTAATATACACTGCCTTTATAATTACTCAAAGTGTGGGTATACATTTTTTTTTTTTTGGTATACTCTGTAGATTGAACTAAAAAGAAATAGCTTAAAAATTACCAGGATAAACTAACAGAAATGATATATTAGTGATTTTAAATGACTTTTCTTGACTCTTTACTGGTCAAATAAGTAAAATATAAATAAGGATATAGACAGATATGAAAAATATAAAGTCTACTTAATAGACTTAAATAGCAATCTACCTTGCACACAGCAAAGGTTTATTCTTTCCAGTGCCCACCTAGCATTGACAATAACTAAGCACACGTGACTCTCAAATTATTCCAAAAGCAGAAAAAGCACAGACCATAACTCTAACTATACTGCACTGAAACTAGAAATTCATAAGTATAAAGAAGCAAAAATCTAATCATTTGAGTAAAAAAGCCCCACTTAATTCTATTGTTTCATTCCAGTGTTTCACATGAAAACGTGCCTCTCAGCTCTCCGACTACGAGTTGCATAATTGGCCAAGGACCTCTGCTGAGCCTAAAACTCATCACTATGTGTTGAAGCCACGCTTCCCACTGGCTGTTCCCAGCCAGTGCCTGAGTAGAATTCCTTCCACGAGTGACTGCTGCTCAAGGAACTTGATGAGACTTTGTTAGCTTGGTGTTGCAGCCTAAGACCTTTCCTCACCTTTTTCACAGAACTCAGACCTGTGTTGCAGTCCAATGGCTCTCTCTATCTCTTCCAGCTCCCTCCCCATTTTCTATCATTTTTTTTTTCTCTCTCTCAATAAATCTCATGCACATCTAATTCCTTAATGGCATTTACTTCTCACAAGTAACTACTTCTCACTACTAACACAAGTTTCAAAGAATAAATCAACTGCAATTGTAATTTAGGAAAGAATAGCTACATATCAAAAGAACACAGCACATCTATAGAGGTAAATTTGTGGCATTAAATGTGTCCATAATTATACTAGACAAAATGAAGCTATATAAACTAATCGTTCATTTCACAAAATTAAAAAGAAAATAATAAAACCAAAGAAAAGCAGGATGAAGAAATTGACAAATTATGGTAGGCAGGATGGCTCAACAAGACATCCGTGACCTGATCTGTGGGCCCTGGGAATGTGTTACGTTACATGGCCAAACAGACCTTGAAATAGGGAGACTGTACTGTCTTATTTAAGTGGCCCAATCTAATCTCATGAGCCCCTTAAAAGGAGAAACCTCTCTCTAGCTGGAGTCAGAGAGATTTGAAGTATGAGATGAACTTGGTCTGCTGTTGCTGGAGAGAGGTCACACTGAAAACACAAGAAGGAAGGCAGGTGGCTGGAGGTACATCAGTCCCCGACTGACAGCCAGCAAGGACCTCAGTCCTGCAACTTCAGGAAACTGAATTTGGCCAAAAACTTATGAATGAACCTAGAAGAGGGTTCATCTCCAGAGCCTTCCCCAAGGAACACAGCCCTGCTGACACCTCAGTTTCAGCCTTGGGAGATCCACAGAGAGAGGAGCGAGTTGAGTCCTCCCAGACTTTTGACCTTCAAAAACTGATAATGTATTTTTTGTTGTTGTAAACCACTAAGTGTGTGTGATTGGTTATGGCAGCAATATAAGACTAATATACTAAAAAATTAAGAAACAGAAAATTATGGGATTTACATGTAAATTCAAGGGCTGTTTCTTTGAAAAGGTAATAGGCAAAGTTTGTCCTACTCTAAACATGAAGAAAAGAGAAAAAATAAACATTAAAATTAAGAATAAGAAAAGATGGAGGAGTTATAAGTATCTATGATCCAAATAACATAGCAAAAACATTTATGAAGCTGAAATTATAGATGAAATGAAAACTCAATAATTATGAGAGACTTTAATTTACCTCAATACAAGACAGAAAAAAGGAGATACAAAAAATTATAAAAAGACCTAACAAACCTAACAAGCTATTTTTAATAGATTTCAACTGAACTTTATACCCTAACACACTGAATATACATTTTTTAAAAAAAGTATTTATTTATTATTGATATTTAGAGAGAGGAAGAGAGAGAGAAAGAAACATCAATTAGCTGCCTTCTGCATGCACCCCAACTGGGGATCGAACCCACAACCTGGGCATGTGCCCTGAACGAGAGAAAAACCTGCCACCTTTTGATGCACAGGACAGTGCTCCAACCAACTGAGCCACACCAACCGGGGCTGGAAATACATTCTTTTAGAACATGTACAAAACTTTACTCTCCAGCCACAAACCCTCAAAATATTCCAGAAACTAAAGCCATTATATACAATAAATTTTAATTACAATGAAGTAAAATTAAAAATGAATACTCGTATAACAAAGCATAAAATTCTTTGCTCAGGGGGAAAAACTCAACAATAATAATCCTCTTAACTATTCAATAAAGAAAATACAATTGTAAAATTTCTAGGAAAAAATAATGAGAAAATTACATATCAAACCCCAGAGGATATAGGAATGAATGAATGCTCAGAGAAAATTTACAGTCATAAGAGATTATATTAGTAAAAAAATAAAGACTATAAATACAATATGGCTCAAAAATTAAGAAAATGAACAGCAAAGCAAACTGCAGGAAAGGAAAAAATTAATAAGGACAAAAGCTTAAATCTGTGAAATGAAAAACAGAATGGAAGCAGAATTTAAAAATACGTTAAAACACTGGCTCACTGGGGAACAAGCAATATAATTGTCAAGGGACAACTAAGCTAACTCATCAATAAAAAAAGAAAAAGAAAGCACAAGGAAAAGGGTACAAAGGCAAGGGGGAGAGATAAAAGCGGAGGGGATTAAAACAATCCTAAAATTATTTTGTACAATTTCAAGCCAATAAATTTCAAAATCTAGGTAAAATAGTTTTGTTTTTTTTCCCAAGAAAAAGTAATTTACTGAAGAGATAGAATGTTTAAGCAGTCTAATTTCCATAGAAAAAAATTTGAGCAAAGGTATCAGAGGGCTCCTTTTTCCACCAAAGCATCAGGCCCAGATGTTTCAGAGGCAAAGCTTCCAAATCCTTCAAGAACAGAAAATTATAGCCCAGTCGGCATGGCTCAGTGGTTAAGCTTTGTCCCATGAACCAGGAGGTCATGATTTGATTCCCGGTCAGGGCACATGCCTGGGTTTCTGGCTCGAACCCCAGTTGGGGGTGTGCACGAGGCAGCCAATCAATGATTCTCTTTCAATTATTGATGTTTCTATCTCTCCCTCTCCCTTCCTCTCTCTGAAATCAATCAATCAATCAATCAATCAATCAATAAAAGTTGCCATAGAAGGCAAGCTTATTTAGTCCCTGATTATGCTGGAAATGTTTTGTTGTTTGCTGTTGGCTGTTGATTTGATATATTTTTTTAATGTTTTTATTGATTTCAGAGAGAGGATAGGGGAGAGAGAGAGATAAAAACATCAATGATGAGAATCATTGATCGGCTGCCTCCTGCACGCCCCCTACTGGGGATGGAGCCCTCAACTGGGGCACGTGCCCTGACCAGGAATCGAACCTTGACCTCCAGGTTCATGGGTCGACGCTCAACCACTAAGCCACACCGGCTGGGCAATGACAACTTTTATTTAACAATATTCTGGAAGTTTTGGTCAAGGCCTTCAGAAAAAAGTAATTAAATCAGAAAACCAAAGATTAAATTGTCATAATTTGTTGTTAACATAATAGAGTACCTTGAAAAACTAAGAGAACCAACAAAAAACTAGTAAGACTAATTAGATGGGTGCAGAGGGTGGTACATAGTGGAGCCCCACGGGACTAGAGTAAACTCTGACACAGTCATAGTGCTGTGTGCCCTGGGAACCTCCTGCTCTTGATAAACTGGCTCCCAGAAGCAAATAATCAAACATCAAGCTATTATCTTCCCCAATTCCCAAAGAATTTCCACTTTATTCTATCCAAATGACTTCAGAAGAGATGTGCTTGTTTCACATAAGGTGTGTGACAAAGTGGGGCATTGGCTCTTTTAGTCAAACCACTAACTGCACACGAAAGGGGAGACATTTCAGGCAGAAAAGAACAAGGCGGAGATGGAGGCCCTGCAGTAGTGGGGCGCGTGGGGGCTCCCTGCAGGTGGCTCGGCACCCGCGGCGATAAAGGGCGCGCCAGGAGGCCCAGAGAGCGAGCCGAGGAGAGAAGCAGGGGTCGGCGTGGAAGCCCTTGAACACCCAGGCTCATGGGCTTGCACGTTACTTTGTGAGAGACGTAACCCACTGCGGGACGTAGCATGACCAACTCACATTTATGTTGGAACTTTAATAATAATAGTTACCGTGGGAAATTCTTGGGTTTAAAATTCCTGCTTCTGCAGTCTCCGAGGGGACCCCAGAGGGAGGAGAACAATGACAAGAGTGCAATCCAGTGGCAGGCTTGATTGGGTGAGTGTGTTGGAACGTAAGGGGCGCTCGGTAAGCATTTGTTGGTTGAACTGAGAGCATTTGTGGTGCATGTGCCTGAGCTGTCATATTTAAACACTTTGGAAAGAAAGTTCTTTGGAACAGTTACCACTTGGCCGGGCATTTTGATAAGCTATAATGATCTTCGGGCAGTAACTTAATAAAAGAGTTCCGTCTATTTTCAGTTACCTTCATATCCAAGTCCTTATAAATAGATTCTAGGGAAGACATGAGCTCTTGAACTGTTTTTTCAATTTGCCGGTGCTCCTGCCTGATGAAATGAATGTCTCCAGAAAGACTCACAATGCTGGCATCACATCTAGTGGCGAGATGGACATTGGTTGTGAGATCAATAGGCTCATAACATTTCTAATACTACAGTAGGATCTGTGCATTCATTTGGTGGCAAAAGTCCTAAAGCGCTTTGAATAACGAGTTGGTAGATGTAGAAGCATACACAGGACTGTTCCTCTTCTCTTCTTGATGAGAGAGAGCCCAGGTTGGATACTACTGCTCTGGCCCAAACCAGAGAACTGAGTTGGACTTAGTGTAGACAGTGGGGGAAATTAGGAGGAAATTGTAGATTTTCAGCCTAACATGTTAACTCAGCCATAGGAGCTCCAACAGGTTTTGATGTGTTGAGAATATTCCCTGCTGCCTATGATTAGGCAAAACTGAAAATGTCTCCTTTTCTGTTTCACACACTGAATCCCCTTTTCTCCCATTAATTTCTTTCTGGCTCCCAGATTCTCAGTTCTCCTTTGGCTAGAAAAAGTGCCCTGGCCGGGTGGTTCAGTTGTTGGAGCATTGTCCTGTACACCAGAGGGGCTGTGAGTTCGATTCCCGTCGGGGCACATGCCTAGGCTGCAGGGCCAATCCCCAATCTGGGTGCTTTCCGGAGGCAACTGAGCCATCCATGTTTCTCTCTCACATCGATATTTCTGTCTCTCTTCTCCCCCTTCCTCTCTCTCTAAAATCAACAAACATATTCTCAGGTGAGGATAAAAAATTATTTAAGGATAAAGGAGGTGATGACTGCAAAGCGTTCAGCCAGCGCCTGCATGGTCAGCAGTCCTTCCGAATTCATCTTGGGAGTTGCTGCCGAGTCATTTTTACTCCCGGCCACCCAGCCGGCTCATCCTACACACTGAAGTCAGAGATTGCTTGTGTTTCAGAGCTGCACTCTGTGTTTCAAAATAAAGTTTCACCTTCTCTCCTTCTTTGGAGCAATTTTATTGTTTCTTTTAAATTAACACGTGTTCCTCATAAAAAATTTCATATAATAGAAAAAACAAAGAAGAGAGTTAACATCTTCCCAAGTCCCACTTTTCAGAAATAATCATTGTTAATACTTGGTTATCATTCCATTCATATATATATATATACACATATGTATATACACACATGCACATATACACATATATAGTGTGTGTGTTAATGTGTGTGTGTGTGTATATACACAGACATATGAAAGATAGAAATTCTCTAATCAAGTAATTTTAGTATATTTGTATTATGTATGTATGCCAATTTTAGTTAAAAATGTTATATTGAATGTGGGGTGGAAGGGATCAAGGCAGGGAAAAAGGGGACATCTGTAATACTTCAACAATAAAGATTAAATAAATAAATAAATAAATAAAGTTATATTGAATTTTAATTTAATTTAACCTAAAGAAAGGTAACTGCAGTGAAAAATGAAAAAATTGCTAAACTTCAGATATATACGTATATTTCTTCACTATAAAAGATATTTGTTTCTAAAAAAATAAGTTATGAAAAACTACCACAGATTGGAATCAGGTTTTTTACACCTATCATTTCAACTTTAGACAGTATGTTATTGACCATATGCCAAAAACTGAGGAAATAAGTTTGTATACTTGTCTTTTCAAAAGTTTTCTTTTATAATCTGCTATTTTAAAATGTCAAGTTATATGACATTTACACCGTGTTCTGTAACTGGATTTCCCAGTGCTGTTTAATCTCCCTCCTACATTTAGACCCTGTGTCCATTTTAAACCATGATTTCTTTCCCGGGGTCCCTGTTTTGATTTACTCCCTGGTTGCCCAGGTTTTGCCACCCAGATTTCAAAAGCAGGACTTAGGAGTGCTGGAATCAGGTCTTAGGAGTGCTGGGATCTTTCATTCTTGAGTGCTTGAGAATGCACTGTCTGTTTTCCGAAAGGTAACTCGGTTAGGACGTTACTGGGTCAGTTTTTTTTGGTTCAGAACATGGTAAGTGTTGCTCCCTTCTTTGTGGCCCTGGTTAAGGTGGAGAAGTCTGAGGCCATATTTTTTCTTGTTTCATGATCTGTTTTGTCTCCCTAGATGCCTAAAGATTCTTTTTCCTGATGTTCACTAACTTCAACCAGGACGTCTTGGTTTAATAGTTATAGTAATTTTTCTGGGGTTACCTTTTTTTCTTTTGAGCTACAAATTCGAATCTCTTCTCTTATATCCTTGAGTATTTTTTTCTGAAGAATCTGTTCTGCTGCTTCTTCAGGAGCTCCTATCAGGGGTATGTTAAGTGAGTTTCACTTGTCTGCCATATACGCATTTCTCTGTAAGCATTTTTATAATGAAAAAATTCTCTTTTAATTTTGTATGGTTTCCCATGCTCAGTTTTTGTTTGTTTGTTTGTTTTTAAATAACTCTATTACCTTTAGTTGTATTTATTCTATTTTGGGGGCTTCCAAAGTAGATTTAATCTATGTAATATTTTAATTTTTTCTTTCACCATACCCCTAATCTATTCACTTACCTATCTCCTTTTGTTATCTGATAATTTCTTTTTTGGGAGGGGAAACTTTTTATCTCATATTTTTATCAAAGTAAAAGATGCCTAGAGTTTAAAAGTCAATAATAGCTAAAAGGCTAATAATGATAGTGGGTCCTTGCTCTACCTCTCAGTTCCTCTCCCTAGAGGCAAGTGCCCACTTTTATGCAGTTTCAGAGGTTCCTGGTACAGCCAGCTCCCAAATCTTTGAGAATTCTGTGGTGCAAAACAAAGTAATTTTCAGCTTATCTCACAGCTTTAAAATTGGTTTTACTATGTTTGTAAGTCAGTTTTCCCCTGTCCATCTGTTTCCTAGGTTCCAAAATTTCTGTGCAGATATCTCCAGTCTTTGTGGTTTGATGTTTTAAAGAGAAAATCTTTTCCCTAGATTTAGTGGAGATTTTGGAAGAAGCAAAATTACATGTAACTGTTCAGTTTGCAATCTTTTATGCTTCTTTTGCTCTTAATTTATTTGAAACCTGGAGAACCTTTGGTTTCAACTCTTTCTGTGTTTTTCTGAGTAATTCCTTTCATAAGGTATATTCATTAGCCTTATGGTTTTATCAATCTTTATATCTATCTGTCATCATCTATCTATCAATCGTCGTCTATCATCTATCCATCATCTGTCTATCATCTATGGATGATGGTGGTGGTGATTTTTATGAACAGGCTAGATTCTTCCTAACTACCATTCTTACTTTTTTGAATGATTCTGGCTACTTGCAGATTAGTGAGTATGTGTTTGGTGGTGAGGGGGCACGTCTCTCTGTTTCCTCCTCAAAAACCAGGTTGTGCTTCTCATAGCCAGTCATTGTCATAGATTCTGTGCTGTGGCAGTCCCGCCTCCTCTCCTTCCTCACCCTGGCACACTTCAGCCAGCTTCTCAGGTATGGATTGGCAAGGAGGGAGGTCCTAGACGATAAATAGCACGCTTCCATCTTCAGCTGCACCTCCCCAGCCAGCTTTCTGTGTTGCGGACCTGAATCTCTAAAGGGACATCTCTTACCTTTCCTGTGACCCACCCAAGCCCACAGGTAGTACTCTATTCAGATTATTTGACCTACACTTTTCAGGAATATGACTCTTGTTTTGAAGGAAATCATTCTCTTTACGGTCTGAGGAGGACTCTATTAGTCCTAATATCACAGTACAGTATTTGGTAAATGTGCTCTGCTTGGGGTCACTGTTTGTGGCAACCTCCAAATTATATTAAAGATGGAGTTTTTGTTTTCCTTTTATTTGTAAGTTGCATTGAGACATCTCAAGTGAGAAGAGTGAAGTAAAAGTATCTTTATTCTACTATCTTTTAAACCAGAAGTCCCCACCCTTTACCTTTGAAAAGTACACAGTATCCATATCGTTATTGTTTCTTAAAAGGAGGTGACTTTGGCTTTTAATCTCACATCAGCACAATTTGTCATTTTTTTTCGTATTCGGATCTCTCTAGGGGTCCCAAATAGACAAAGGTGGCTAGAGGATTGGCCTCCTCTGGCTGCTGCTACAGAGTGTGAGCCAGAGTCACCCTTGGTTCCCTCACATGCTCGCCTTGTCCTCTTTTGCAGTTAAGACTAATCTACCGAGTAGAGGAGAGGGTGTGAGAAGCAGGCCAAACAACTCTGAGAACCTCTTCTCATTGAAAGTGCTGGCTTTTAAACTGTTACTTTATTGGGATGGAAACTATGGTGTAAAATTCAAAACACATTGTAGTTGTCAAATATTGAGTTTGATTTATGAAGCAGTAAAATGTTTGCTAAGAATTATGTTAAAATAATCAACTTAATTTCACTTATGCCAAAATGCTAATTGAAATTAAGGTCAATATCTGTCGGAAGACAGTAATTAATCTGCCTCAGCTTGTCTGTCAGTCAACTGCCTGGCAAAAATACAGAAAAGGGAGGCGAGGTGAATTTAAGTTTTACAGCTTTCAGTCAGATTCTGCTGCAGATTTCCAAATGGATTGAAGAAACTTTCATAAAAGGAAGACATTTCAAGGAAAATTAAGACCTTGTCTTCAAACCACTGCATAAGATTGAAGGGGAAAGTAAGTAAGCATTGGAGAGGAAGGCGAAGGGGGGGAGGCTCTTGATTTTTCACTTTTCCTTCGGACACACCCAGGAAACAGCTATATGTGGATCTACTCCCTCTGAAGAAAAACATGGGAACTAGTTTCGAGACTCTTACACATGGGGCGAATGAGGCAATATGTACATCAAATGGATAGGAAGGGCTGAGGCACACTGCCGCCCAAGCTCCACCCTGGCGCAGGGCCTTGCAGTTGGGAGGGAACCTCCACCCCCAGCTTCTTCCTGAGGGGCGAAGTGTGTGAACCGCACACGGGACACTCCGACTCTCACAGCTGCCACCTGGAAGACTGGCTCCCAATTCACCTACGTCCGAGAGCTGACGGGGTTCATGTGTGCATCCCCTGGGACCACAGAAAACAAAGAGGTGGTTTAAATGGTCATAGGGTTTAAAAAATGGGTAAAGGACCTGAACAGACATTTGTCCAAAGACAACATATAAGTGGCCCACAGGTACAGGAAAAGATACTGGACATTACTAATCAGCAGGGAGATGAAAATCAAAACCACGATGAGATATCACTTCTCACCTGTTAGGATGGCTATGATCAAAAAATAAAGGCTCAATGTTGAAGAGTGTGTGGAGCAAAGGGAACCTTTATACACTGTGGGCAGAAACATAAATGGGTACAGCCATTATAAAAAACTATGGAGGTTCCTCAAAAAACTAAAAATAGATGACATCCAGCAACCCTATTTGGAATATACCCCCAAAGGAAATGTAGTTGGTACCTAAAAGAAATATCTGTACTCCCATGTTCATTGCAGTAATATTCACAATAGCCAAGCTATGGAAACAACCTAAGTGTCTGTTGAGGATGAATGGAAAGGAATTGTGATACACACACACACACACACACACACACACACACACACACACACACATACACACACAAAGAATATTTTCAGCCTCAAAAAAGGAGATATTAGCATTTGAGATGACATGTATTAACCTGAAGGGCATTATCATACGTAAAATCTGCTAGATGCAGAAAGACAAAACTGCATGATCTCACTTATGTGTGGAATCTAAAGAAGTGAAATACACAGAGGCACAGAGCAGAACGGTGGTTGTCAGGGATGAATAGGTGGGAAAAATGGGAAGATGTTGGTCAAACGGTACACGTTTCAGGCATGTAGGATGAATCAGCCTAGAGGCCTAATGTACAGCATCATGACTGTACTTAACACTGTACTGAAGAATGGAAATATGCTNTTAGAGGCCTAATACAGCATCATGACTGTACTTAACACTGTACTGAAGAATGGAAATATGCTAAGAGTAAATTTCAGGGGTTCTGTTCACACATAAAAAGGGCATTATGTGAGAAGATATGTTAATTAGCTTGACTGTAGGAATTGTTTTATGATGTATACATATATTATCAGGCTGTACACCTTAAATATATGCAATTTTTACTTAATAAAAAGAAAAACAAAGAAAAAAGAACTGGAATGGAGCAAACAGTTGCCCATCTTCTCCTTGATATTATTTCATTCATCTCTCGGTTTAAATTAAATGTTTGTTATTTTATCCTGTATATAAGACAGGATTTAAGCCTATTAAAATAATAGGCTTGTGAATAATTTGCAGGAAATAAATGGTTGGAATGTCATCAGTATGCCATCAAATTGAATCAAATTCCAGGTTTCATTCAAAATGGATGTTGGGTGTTTATCTTCTTTGCAAAATCATGGCACACCTAAGTAGGGGTGTTTGTTATGCTATCTTGCTTCATAAGTTACACAAATATTATAAAATTCTTTTGTATGTATCAAATATTATATATAATAAAGTAGAAATTGAATATATTTTAGAAATATAAAATGTATTTATACATAATATAATTAATTATATATGTGTGTGTGTGTGTGTGTGTGTGTGTACAAGTATTAATCCTGTAGATTCTCTTTCCCTGGTCTGTATGGTGTTGCCTGCTCTGAACTTTCATGGCTAGTGCTTAGGTTGGGCCCTTGCCATTTCTTACCTTTTTTGCTGCAAAAGGCTTCCTTTCGTCTCATACCTTCGTTCTGTACTCCATCAATTAAGTTACTAATAGAATGTCACTAAAAATTAGAAGTCATCCATTTACTTAAAATCTTCCCACGGCTATTTATAACCTTCTACATAAAGTTCAAACACTTCAGCTTGGCCCGTGAGTGCCCTCATCATCCAACTCTGAGCCACTTCTCTAGCTTTATCTCCCAGTCTCCCATCTCTCCCTAAATGCAAATTCCAAAATATCAGAACTAAAATACTCTTCTCACAGGTAGGCCTTTGAACATGTCACAGTAATTCATCCTTAGTTCTTCTGAATACATTATTCCTCCTATGGCACCTTTCACACTCTTCCTTGTCTAGCTGACTGCTACTCAAATAGCTCAAAACTCATCTCAAGTGTTGCCTCCTCCAGGAAGCCCCCCCTATGCCCCAATCTGATTTGGATATTCCCATAGCACCCAGGCTTACATTATAGTGCTCACCTCGTTGCTTATATTTGTGGCTTTGTTTTCCCAGGTAGACTGTAAACAGCTACAGGAAAGGGGACTGTGCTGCTGAACCCCTGAATCCTAGCATACTGCCTGGCATATAAGTGCGTAATACATTTTTGGTGAATTGGATGCAGAAGTTTGTCTTATGTGTTAATTATCTAATTCTTATTTGGTCATTAACATTTCAGAGTGATTAACAAGATGGAGGTAGGGGGAATCTGGGGGTGAGGAAAGAGGTGCTGGCCGAAGATGTAGACTTGGGAAAGAGTTCGTGGTCAGCCATTTCAAGTTATCTTTGATGTTTCTACCACAGTAGTCCTGCCATTGTAAATGCCTACAGATATTTACTAAATTATATACTATTAATTCTTTTTAAAAAAATTCTCACCCAAGGATATTTTTTCGATTGCTTTTCAGAAAGAGTGGGAGGGAGAGAGAGATCGATTGGTTGCTTCCCACACACATCCCGACTGGGGCCGGGGTTCGAGCCTGCAACTGAGGTACATATTGTTGACCAGAATCGAACCTGGGACCCGTTAGTCCGCAGCCAACACTCTAACCACTGAGCCAAACCGGCTAGGGCCCCATTAATTTTTTCGATTTAGAAATCTCACACATACGATATTATTCAAAATTTTATCCATTGGCAATAGTTGCCTTTTACATGTAATTCTTGTATTTTTATTTTATTTTTTATTTTTATTTTTTTAAATATGTCTTTGTTGATTTCAGAGAAAGGAAGGGAGAGGGAGAGAGATATAGAAACATCAATGTTGAGAGAGTCGGTGATGGGCTGCCTCCTGCATGCGCCCCACTAGGGATCCAGCCCACAACCTCAGCATATTCCTTGACCAGGAATCGAACTGCATTTGCCTGGAACATGTAGGTCGATGCTCAACTGCTGAGCCATGCTGGCTGGGATAATTCTTATATATTTTAAATGTTTAATCAGAATTTGATACCTTTGGGGATTTTATATGTGGTTATGAGGGTGTGTCTTCGTATGGATGTTGGCATTTGGATGCTGAGAGCTGTAAAGACAAGACTCTTGTCAAGTGGATTGAACTGGACATTCTGTATAAGGGGGTTTTACAGAAACCTTGAATCTCACAGGTAGCATGAGGTTTACACTTTTATAACTATCATCTCATCAGTTAAGCTTAATGTAAAGGCAGCATCTTGCTTGGAACAATATAGAACTTACTTGGGATTGACAATTCAGTAACCAAGAACTGACTACGAAACATAATTAATATGCTGCTTCTCACCTGGCTACTCTTCCTCGAAGGTCTCCAATTCCTTGAAGGTGTCTGTTGTTTAGCTCTTGCACTGCAAAATTTGTTCCTGTGACTGCCTGGTCTCGAACTCTTATTTGGTCTTCTAAGATCTGTAATTTGAGTTAAAATTCCTATTAATTTCTCTTCACACGCAATAAGAAAATATCATTTAAAGCAGAAGTTAAAACTTGAATGCATTTCTTAGTTAGACTGACAGTGTAAGGGAGTGAGAGAGTCCTAGTCAGAGAGAAGCGATCCCTGCTTTATCCCAGGGAGGCAGCAATGACTTGATTCCAGCTCATTGTTGCCAGGTGGGAAGGATGGTTTCACAGTGTTTAAACAGAAGCCAGAAATCCAGATTTTATGTTAAATCTCTCAATGTTTAAATATGACATGTTATTCAAAATCTTTCCTTAGTCATGTTTTCATTATGTCTTGGTGTTCTGAAATAGAGCTGACTGTCCTATACCACCAGATTGGTGGTTCCAAGAACAGTAGTTTTTAATGTTTTTGCACTAATAATATAAATATTAATTTAATAATTGAAAAAATTTGCTTGTCTATAGAAAACATTTATATTTTACTAACATTCAAACAAATTCCAATGTAAAGTCAGGACATATAAAAATAATTTATATTTACTCAAAAAACTGAGAGTATGGGACTTTGGAAAACACAAATTTGTGATGTGGAAAAACATTCAAGTTTAGTTGCTATATATGGCCAAAGCCTGAACTATATTTAAACTTACGTTTATGAATTTTCTGAGGAAAAGAAGAAATTTGTAGCAAATAAATTATAGATGTTTCAAAGACCATATACAGAATCATGCCCATTTGTAAGTTGGCAGATCAAGACAATTTAAGAGCAAATAAAGCTTTAATTGGAGACATAAAAGTGTAAAAACACTAGCTAGAATTTTTTTATTTGTTTTTGCATGTGTGTAGATAGATGTCTTAGTCTGGATTGCTATAAACACACACACACACACTCCCTCACTCACTGGGTAGCTTATAAAACCAGAAATTTATTTCTCACGGGTCTGGAGGCTGGAAGTCCAAGATCAGGGTGCCAGCATGGTCTGGTTCTGGTGAGTGCCCTCTTCTGGGTTGCAGACTGCCAACTCCCTGCTGTGTCTTCATATGGTAGGGGCTAGGGAGCTCTGTGGAATCTCTCTTAATACTAATCCCATTCACAAAGATTCTGCCCTCATGACCTGAGCACCTCACCAAGGCCCCACCTCCTAATACCATCACATTGAGCATTAGGATTTCAAAATATGAATTGGGAGGCACTAACATTTAGATCATAACAGTAGGTGTTGTTATGCTTTGTTTTGGTAAAGAACAGTGATGAAAGGGAAATTGCCCTACTATATACCAAAAAATTTTTATAAAATAAAGAGAAGTAAATCAGTGTAGCTAAAGAGATATGTGTAGCTAAATAGATCAATGAAATGAAGACCCTGATAAATGTAAGAAAGAAATAGGCTGTACCTGAGACTCACAAATCAAAGGGGGAAGAATTTCACAAATGGTATCTGGTAACTTACTCAGAAAACAATTCATTTAGATCCTTATGTCATACATCAATGTAGATTTTAGAAAAATAGATAACAAAAAAATAAAATGGAAAACCATAAAAATAACAGATAATAGAGGTGACCATTTCATCTTGAATAAAAAAACTTCTATTTTTAAAAGTAATGAAAGAAATCACAAAGTAAAATATTGGAATGTTTAAGTTTATAAAAAACCTGTAAAAACATTGTAAATATAATTAAGATAAAAACTACAAACTGGACAAACATTTATAACAAATTTTATTGACAAAGGTTTTAGTGCTGTGCTACAATCAGCATGCACCTGTTTGTAAGAGGCAATTATATATGCCTCTTCTACCTTTGAGCTCAGTAACATACTGTTGGTGTTTGAAATCAATCATAGTGAGAGTATTTACACTATGGAAATAGGCAAACACCGAAAATCAGATTTTCATCACCCAGAAAAAAATTGATTGCTGATTATTAAACACTTACCAAAGTACCACTGGTTATTATCCTTAATTAATAAAAATGCACATCAAATCAATAAGAATTAGAAGAAACTAACATCTCCCCTAAATAAGTTAACTAAAGACATTAACAGGTTATAGACAGAAAAAATGCAAATTATTATACTGACTGTTAAGAAATGAAAAAAAGAGATCTCGTTTCTATCCCATCAAATTAGCAAAGATTAAAACAATAAATCTCAATGCTGGCATCAGCACAATGAAGAAAGCACTTTCATATAATGCTAATGGAAGTATAAATAATGATAAACTTTCTGGAAACCAATTTGGAAAAATGCATCAAAAGTTTTCACAGTGTTCATCACCTGGTAATTCTACTTCTAAGAATATATAGTACAGAAATAATCCAAATGCTGACACATATCTATGCACAAAGATATTTCAATATTAGGAAAATAATTAAGCAAATTGTGGTGTATGCAGCATGCAAAGAGATTTTAATGGCATGCAAAAGACTTTATGTCATAATTTTATATTTAAGATTGTGCTTACAAATGTAGTCTCAGCATCCTAAATGGAATGTTGTGAAGGACTAGAGGGAGGTACATATGAGTGTAGAGATTACCACTTGGTGGTAGAATTATGAAAAAATTTTTCCCCAGGTTTTAAATTCCCCCCCTAAACTTACAAAATAATTACAATGTACAAGTATTACTTGTATAAGTTTGGGGAAAACACAATAAAGCAATGTTACACATAAACTTTTTTTCTTGAGTTAAAAAATAAATTAATTTTAAAACTTATAATTAGTTGGCAGCTTAAAATAAGAATTTGATTTTAAAAAGGAACAAGCAACTTAACTGCTGCAATTATCGTTAATTATAAAAATTTTCAAGCTTTGACTCACACTTAGATCTATCTTGCCAGCCAATTTGCAAATAGGCTGATCTGCTTAATGAGTTTAGATTCTTTTAAAATACTTGAATAGCATCCATTTCTCTACAAAATGCTTATTACTTTATAGTCATTTACTAAAGGTAGCCTAATAGTTTTTTCTTCATAATATTTTAACTATATCATCTACAGCCTTTAAAACATCTTCTAATTCAGTTTTCTACACAATCAGAACAGCTCCCCTCATTTTTGTTATACATGCAAACCTTTAATAAGATTGTAAATATTTTGAGATTTTACAGCTTTTGGAAAATGTTTCGGCTTTGTCTTTTTTCAGAGCTAATCTGAGATGAAAGAAGCTCTTAGTGAGACTTCCAGAGATCTGGGAACACTTCTTCCCTTAATGCGAATATACCTTTATTGGGATATAATTAATATGTATTAAAATGTACAAATCAAGTATATCTGGATAATTTTTATGAATATAATCAACCATGTAACAACTACTCAGATCAAAATATAGAGTGTTCTAGAAACATTTTGATATTTCTGAGAAAGCTGTTCTCTTTCCAATCACCAAGAAGTTTTGACTGCTAAATTGGGATCCTGTTTTAGTGCTGGTCCTACACTCACTTGATTTTCTCATCTCACAGGCACTGAGCCCCTTATCTCTAGTCACTATTGTGACACTTCATTATGCCTGGAAACAGCCTTAAGCGATTTTAGAAGCAGACTTGACCTTTAGGCCCTGGGGTCAAAGCATTATGTGCTAAATACCAATAAAGAGCTTTTTAAAAGTTCACTAAGGTTTGTAAAATTTCTACTCTCTCTCAAATGCATTATGGGGTTTGCCAGACCATGTAGACAACAAGTAAATTAATAAATACAGAATTCTCAATTTTAAATACAAAATCATGAGAAAGTCATGGATGGGTCCAATCTTGCTTTTGTTGTTGCTGTTGTTTTGTCTAATCCACTATTCTCTCTGAGAGTATAAAAGGCCATATGGGAGGGGATTGTCATCAGTTCTCATGACATAGTTTTGGCAGCTTTCTAAAGTATATTCTATGAAACCCTTGCCTGAAAGTTGCCACCCCAGATTGGTCATGTCCATTAGCATTTTAAAAACAGGGCCCAAAAACCTGTAGTAAAAACCTGTTTATCATGATTTAACCCAAACATTTTTTCTTTTTCTTTTTTTTTAAAAATATATCTTTATTGATTTCAGAGAGAGAAAAGGAGAGGGAGAGAGAGAGAGAGAAACATCAATGATGAGAGAGTCATTGATCGGCTGCCTAGCCCACAACCCGGGCATGTGCCCTGACCCAGAATCGAACCCTGATCGCCTGGATCCTAGGTTGATGCTCAACCGCTGAGCCATGCCCAGCCGGGCCGAGGCATTTTCTTTTTTGATCAGAAACTCTATTTAATAGCTTAAACATCATTCATTCATTCATTCATTCATTCATTCATTCATTCATTCATTCATTCATCTTTTCAGGAAATATTCACAGAGTGCTGACTACCTACCAGCATTCTCATCATCTGGTATGGTATTTAGCAGTGAACAAAGCAAAGTCCCTGCCCTCATGGACATTATATTTTAGAATGGGAAAACAAATATAGACCTTGGTTGTTTGCGATAAGTGCTATGGATAAAAATAGTGTAAGGTTTAAGGGAGATTGTGACTGTTGGTTGGGGTGGACAAGGGTGCTATTTCATAGCATGTCAAGGAAATCCTTTCTGAGAAGGTGATATTTGAGCAGGAACCTGAAGGGAGTGAAGAACATTTCATAGGAATTTTTAGGGGAAGGTGATCCAGCCAGGGTGAATCAATAACAAGGGCAAATGCCCTGGAGCCAGAGAGGCAGGGAGGCAGCAGGGGCAGAGTAAAGGAGAGAGCAGTGGGGGATGGAGTCAGAGAGATTTTGAGCGTCAGATTGTAATAGGCTTTAGACTAACAAACACCTTAGCACAATATTTGACATGGTGTTAAAAAATTTGTCCTTGCTGTCACATAGATGTTCAACAAACATTTTTTTGAATGGAATGTCTTCAACTTTTTGGCATAAATGAGAGGTTGTAATGCTGAACTGTTTTCCTCAAAAGGCAACTAAATTGCAATCATTTAAGCCTAAACAATAGCAACTCGTTTCTATAGTTGAAAAATGACATTGGTGGTTGATAATTTGTCAAGCAATGCCAACATACGGGAAATAAAGAACTACCTCAATGTTTTGGCTGAGTTTTTTGACAATGCTGGTGATGGTCTGGATATGGTTCTCCAGTAGCTTCCTGGCAAGCAACTCCTCTTTTCGAAAGCCTTGGGTCCCATTAAGACAGGCAGAGATGTCCTCCTTGATGCGGGAGGCTTGTTCCAGGAGAAAAGCTATGGTGCGCTCCTGGGTGCTCAGCCTGTCTTCTAGCTGATTTCTCTGGGTGTTTGGAATGACAGGAAGAAAAGAATGACCCCTGGTAAGGAAAAGGAAACAACACCAGAGCTGTTATAAGAATGAGCGTGGAGGAGTCAGAACCAGAACTCGTATCCTCACTTCTCCCATATTTTCTCACCTCTGACAAGTCTGGTAGAACTTTAGCACTTGCATCATTAGGATCTTGGTTTATATCTCATCTAAGAAGCAATTCTTACTTACGCCTTGATCTTGTAGCATGCACTTTTCATGTTTCCCAAGCAAGAATTGTTCCATATTTTCCTACTATTCTAACAAGCCGAGTTGGGTCCACATAAATTTAATATCTGTTAATTCTGTACTGAAAACAGGGCTGCTTTCTTATAGCTGGAAAAAATGAGAGCTCAAAGACAAAGATTAATAAGAGTCAGAAGTTCACTGAAGAGTGAGTGAATGGAATAAATGCGAGAAGGCAGACAAAAGCTAGGGCTTTTTAGTATTGAGGCAAAGAAACGTAAGATCCTGACAGCCCCTATTGATATTAGCATATTACTCCTTCCCTTCACAGGTAAACTTCTTGAAGACAAACTACTTTTGTTGTGTCTTTTTCTTTAATGTACTTTGCTTAGAATTGCGATCTAGTCCCTGAAGTCATACACCAGAGATTTTGCTTTATTTAGTGTGTTCCTTAGAAGCAGGTCACTAAGTTCAGCCTCTACTTTGGGGTGAGAGTGGGGGTAGAATTGGGCTTAACCTCTTGAAAAATGGAATATCAAAGAATTTGTGGACATTTGAAAACCACCCCTCTACAGTCATGTAATGGCTTCTGTCTCCAGTTGCACCATTCCCTGACCCTGTTCTCCCATTGCCCTTGTTAAGCAGCATAAAATAGCCTCCACCGGGTGAGATTCCTCTTTCCTATCACCTGCCCATCTCAACAATGAAGAAGGGGTTTCATTAATCAGATTTGCTCAAAATGTTCTTCTGGAAAATTACCAAATGGAGCCTCGTCTAGATAAAACCCGTTCTCTTAAAACCCCTGCATGCTGACAGTGCTACCCAGGACGGATGAGTCACAGGCAGAGTGGGGAGGCTGTCAGGCCCTGCTGATGGTGACACACAGCCTGGTGGGAGACCGCAGGTTTGCTCATTATTTGCCTTGAGCTAGTGCTTCTTTCGGGCCTCGAGACAATCTACAGCCTGGATTTGCCAGGGAAAGGGTATTTGATCTCCAGTCTTCAGTTCTATAAAGAGACTTGTAAATTATGCTGCATTCCTCTCAAAATTCACGCCTTCTCTTAGGAGTTCCCGGTGTGGCAGACACCGTAGGTTATCTTGTCCACAGCCAGCCTTCCCTCCTACCTGATGCTTCATCTTCCTGCCCCCCCATGCCCCTCCCCCCCATGCCCTTCAGGGGAGGCACGCTACTCATGGTGACCCTGTCACTCTGGGCTGAGATCCTGTAGCTTTAGGCAGGAGGATGTGAAGCAATTCTGGCCAGTGAGACTCAAGGGGAAGCCTACTGCGGGGCTTCTGGGGAAGCTTTCTTTGCCTTCAAGAAGAGACACACAGGAAGAAACTTTCTTTCTCTTTGCTGGATGGTGTCATGTCTGTGCCTGATGCCTGAAACTCTTGAAGCCATCTGCTCATGAGGGGAAAGGTGATGGCTGGGAGGAAGGGTAAGAAAACCCTTGGTTCTTGATGATGTTGTTAAGCCTTTAAATGAACCGAACTCTAGATTTTTTTATGTGAACTAATCAGTGTCCTTACATTTAAGCCATTTTGGTTGGAGGGTGTTGTTTTGTTGTGTCTGGTTTTTTTTAATGCAGCTAAAATCACTCTGTCTGTATCTAATAACTAACCAATAAAATATCAGTTGCAATAGAAATTTATCAGTTAGTCAGAATTTACTAAATGTCTACTCAAGTCCATACATGATATAGAATATTTTCGTCCCTCAAGGAACTTAGTCTAATTCAGTGTTTCTCATAAAAAAAACTTGAGTTAGTCTCATGGGGGTGGGGAAGGGAGGGAAGCTGTTAAAATACAGATTCCTTGCCTCAACCATAGGCCTACTAAAGCATAATCTTTGGGGTGTGGACGGGAGAACAAGATATGTGTTTTAAATAAGCGCGTATGTGATCCTAATGTATTATAAAGACTGAACAGCACTGCTTTAAGACTGGTTGTGTGAATCAATGAATAATAAAAGGCAGGATATATAATAAAGTGCTGAAGTGTGAAATATGGAATATGAGCTCTCAAGTTATGTAGATTTTCAGAAGCAGCTGGCAAGTTGGAAGGCAAGATAGACTGAGGGTAGGATACAGGTCCTACCACTTACCAACCAAGCGTTTCAGTTCATTTATCTTTAAACAGGGCTAACAGGGCCAATTCACTGTATGGTTGTAAATTCTGAGATGACGTGTGAGAAGCATGTGCCACACAGCTGCTCTGCTATCCAGGGTTACAAAGGACCCATGTGCACTCACTCTTCCCGGGTGCTGTTGGCTGGTGTCAAGATTGTATCCAGGGAGAGATGAAGAAGCAAACCTGAGCCAGCAGAGGAGTCAGAGGAACAAGGCTGCCACTCTGCTCAGATGCCAGTCTGTGGTCCTGCCTGTCAGAGCTGGCCTCAGTGTCCTTGCTATTGGGCACGTTGGAAAAATCCTTTAATAGGGGAGCACCTAGTGCTGTATCAGTGTATTTGCCTGCAACCATGGGGACAATAAGTGACAAATTCTGGACTATAGTTATTTCTTTTCCTTAAAGTTTATTTTTTAAAGTTACCTTTATATTTATGTTCCGTTTTCAAACTTCTTTTCATACCTAAGATTTACTATTAATTGGAGTGTTATTATTACTACTTATGAATGATGCTTAATGAAGCACCTAATGATGCTGTTTGGTTCTCTTTACGTGATTCCCACAAGATGAACACAGAGCTTATATTTTTTCCTATTTCCATTTACCATAAGAAAAGAGAATGTTGTTTCCAATCTGTCTTTCTAAATTAACAACTGGAAACACACACATATGAACAGTCTCAGTTTCCTCAGAGAGATTCCCCGTGATGCCATTGTCCAAATCATCAGATCATCCAAAGAATAACTGAGGCCTTTTGCTGCAGCAAAATGTGGCCACCATGATTCTTTTCAGCAAATAAAAACCATTCACCGCTTCATTCGTATGTGTATGACATCAGTGGGACTGATATGTAACTTTAACTGTGAAAGGAAATTTAACTGAATATTCCAGACTAGTCCAGATGGAGTTACTAACCACAAGAGGAAGAATTCCTGGGGGACTTTCAGAGAGAGATTTGGGATTTACATAAATCATTGATGATGTAGCTGGCAACTGAATCTGAACAGATTTTCCACAAACTCTGAGTTCTGTTTCTCAGCAGTTCGGTGTGACTTGCACGAGCTGTGCTGTCGCTGGCAGATGCGCTGGTGCATATAGCCTCTCACTCCTCTGCCTGTTCTGTTCTTGCGAAGAGAGAACTAAATTTACTTAGAAGCTTCTGAGAACCATTTTGGCAACCTGTTATTCTCAAAACACAAAAATTAGAAAATTTAACCCCTTTTCTAGAACATGAAAGGGCATCATAACTAACTAAAATTTTCAGTTTTGTGAGATCTAATATCTGACTAGTTACATCCGCAGTGCACAGAGTCCTGACATGCACACACGCACCCAGACACACACACAAATATATAATATGTATAATATATATGTATATAGAGATATTTTACAGAACATTTTGATACCTCACACAAATAATCTGTGTAGCAATGAAATTGAAAATATATTTTCTAAAGTTTCTCCATTACAGATGGATTTTGGTGACTACAGGAGATTCCATTGCTGAGCTTTGCAAAGGGCTGAGTGATCTAGGGAGGTGAGGGAGGCAATTTGAGTTTCTGTGGGCGAAGTCCAAGAGGAAGCCAACCAAACCAGCAGGGTTAGGGCAGCACTGGGGCCTGCACGGGGGAGCCTGGGAAGGGGGGGACAGCAAACAGTGACCAGGCCAGGAGGAGACTGGAGAAAGAAGCTGTGGATCTTTTACAAAGAAAAGTTGTATGAGGCAAACTCCTCATATTCAGTACATTTTAAAAACAAAAATTACAGAATTAATGATGTACCTGTTGTGATTGGCTTTCTTATGGAGGCAAGCCCGTTGGCAGGTGTTCCAGAATGAGGGCTCGTGGGTGTCAGGGTTACACCGACAGGTAGAATGTATGTAAACTGCAGCAGCGAATGGTTTTGATGACTTTTGGAGTTCCTATCACATTTTGCAGCACTCTTGAGACACTTTCCCATATTACCTTGCTATTTTGGAGGGTGTGTGTTATTTATGTGAATCTGCAGGGAAAAGAGTACTGTACTTGGAGTCAGAAGACCTGGGTTCAAGTTCTGCCTCTGCCACTGACTACCCTCAACCTCTTTTAGGTTGCCCAGAAGAGAGTTCCTTGTCTGTCTTATGGAGATAATGACTCCTGTCCTATCCAATTGGCCTAGGAAATCAATTTAAATAATGTATCTCAAGTGCTTTGTAACGTCTGCAAGTTTTATAGACATACATTCCTATTATTATTATTAATAATTATTAGATGGTATTATGGGCTGAACTGTGTTCCCCATAGCAACATATGTTGATGTCCTAACCCCTAGTGCCTCAGAATGTGACCTAATTTGGAAATAAGGTTGTTATGGATATAATTAGTTAAGATGAGGTCATACTGGAGTAGCATGAGCCCCTAATCCAATATGACCGGTGTTATAAGAATAGCCATGTGAGGACAGGGACACACAGGAAGAATGCCATGTGAAGATAAAGACAGAGATTGGAGTGATGCATCTACAAGCCAAGGAATACCAGGCATTGCCGGCTGTCATCAGAACATAGGACAGAGGCAAGTGTAAACTTGGGCAAATATTTGATTCCTCTGAACCCCAGTGTCTTGTCTTCATCTTTAAAACAATGATATTAACCACCTCTTAGGGTTATTGTGAGGATTAAAGAAGATGATTAGCACTGAGTAAGAGCTGGAAGCT